CAGGCGAAAGCAGAGGCCGATTGCCAGTGTCAGGACAGACGGCAGGAAGTGCTTGTTAACTGAAGAATCTAAAATGAGGTGCACGTCTGAGATATTCTAAATGTTTCATTGTGAGATATGTATGCAGAGAACTCAGTGGAACGTGTGTGTCCTGCTAAAGACACGCTGACATGAAACGAGAAGCCCTGGGTGTCATTCCCGTTGAGCCCTCTCTCCCCCGGGAGGTGACCGCTGTCCTGCACTTGTGTCGGCCACTCCCTGTGTTTTTTAAATCCTCACCCAAGGATATTTTTATTGTTTTTAATTATGCATCAGTATCTGCTACAGAACCGACTGTGCACAGGCGAAAGCAGAGGCCGATTGCCAGTGTCAGGACGGACGGCAGGAAGTGCTTGTTAATTGAAGAATCTAAAATGAGGTGCACTTCTGAGATATTCTAAATGTTTTATTGTGAAATATGTATGCAGAGAACTCAGTGGAACGTGTGTGTCCTGCTAAAGACACGCTGACATGAAACGAGAAGCCCTGGGTGTCATTCCCGTTGAGCCCTCTCTCCCCCGGGAGGTGACCGCTGTCCTGCACTTGTGTCGGCCACTCCCTGTGTTTTTTAAATCCTCACCCAAGGATATTTTTATTGTTTTTAATTGATAATGAGAGAGAGAGAGAGAGAGAGAGAGAGAGAGAGAGAGAGAAAGAGAAACAGCAATCAGGGGCCTCCCATACATGCCCCAACCAGGGCTCAAACCTGCCACCTAGGCATGTGCCCTGACCGGGAATTGAATCTGCAACCTTTTGGTACGAGACGACGTTCCAACCGACTGAGCCACGGGCCAGGGCTCCCGGGTGTTTTATACTTTTATTCCCTCGTCAGGTTTTCTTAAAGAGCAGCCTGGCGGCTGAGCCTGTGGGAACCATGCACATGTGACTGAGCTGTGTCCCTGGGACGTCCTCTCGCACCACTGTTTCTGCGGCCCACCCCAGCGCAGTGCTGCTCACGCAGCCGTGCACCTGCCCCTCTCCTGTCCCGGCGGCCCAGAGCTCACTGTCCCGTGGACACGAGTTTCAGACATTGCACCTCTGGGGCACAGTCATTTCCTGGATGAGCAGGAGTTTCACTCCGGTGTAACCCTAGGAGGGCAACACCGTGCTGTCCTGAGCTCCCACTCAGTGAGGGTGGGACCCCTCCGCCTCGAACCTGGGCCGACACTTGTGTTTCCTCCCTTTCTACTTCTGCCCATCTGGTGAGTGAGTGCCTTCTAATCCTTTCTAGATTAGGGTCACCTCTTTCCAGCCAGCTCTCATAATTTGCCAGTCTTCACGGAAATGTCTTACAACGAAATTCAAGGTCCTCTCTCTGTGTTCATCAGTGATGTACACCAACCTCAAGCAGGTAACTGAGCTGGGAGAGGGGGTTGCCCTGGAGGCCAGAGAGGCCCAATTCCTTCACACTGTTCTGGTAGGACCAGTGATGTGGTAGAACTGCAGCCGAAGCCACGTGACAGGTTTAAAACATTCTTATAACACACACAACACGAAAAGAAGCTTAGTTTAAAAAGAGAGAAACAGCTAGCCATTATGGCTCAGGGGTTGGGCGTTGACCTATGAACGAGGAGGTCACGGTTCGATTCCAGGTCAGGGCACATGCCTGAGTGGCAGGCTTGGTCCCCAAAAGGGGGTGTGCAGGAGGCAGCTGATCGATGATTCTCTCTCATCATTGATGTTTCTATCTCTCTCCCTCTCCCTTCCTTTTTGAAATCAATAGAATATATTTTTTTAAAAAAGATAAAACGTGGGTTGCGGGCTCAATCCCCAGTAGAGGGAGTGCAGGAGCAGCCAATCAATGATTCTCTCTCATCACTGATATTTCTATCTCTCTCTCCTTTTAAGAAATTCTTTTCAAAAAATATATTTAAAAATAAATACATAAAAAGGAACGGGTTGCAATCACAGCAGAGGATAAGCGTCAGTACCCTCCTCCGGGCGGGTGACTGCCACAAACCAGCTGCTGCGCTCTGGGTGAATTCCTTCTGGTCGAGTTACATCGTCAATGCTGCCCTCCCTGCGGGCTCCCACTGGCCTCGCTGGGAGCCCCCTTCAGTCAGGGCCTGGCTCCTCTCATCTCAGACATCAGCTGGATCCTAACTCGCTCTCCCTAAGCTCCCGTCCTGCCCCCTCCTTCTGAGTCTTGTTGAAACCAGGCATAACAAGCTCCCTTGGGTGATAAAAATGCCCAAAGGCAGTAAAAATGAGGAGGACACATAAAGCATTTTCATTCTCATTACACAAAGAACAGCTACAGTTCCCTCCGCACTAATGCAAAACTCGGTGCCATAAAATCGTGAGCAGAGGGTGCACCCTTCCCTGGGAGAGAGAAATGACGGGTTTTTTTTTTTGTCAGTGTGCATGACAAACAGAATTAGCTATTTTTAACAGAAAGGAAGTATCCAGAAGCTTTCCATGTATAAAAAGCTCCACAAAGTACTGTAAGAATTACAATAGAGATTAGTCACTGTCACCATTGTTTCCGACACGGCTGAGGTAGGTGAATGTCTAATTCATACGTTCTAGAAGGTGCGTGATGATGAGAACATCTGCTTGTTTTTAGAAAATTCCAGCCTGTCCCCCACCCCGCACCCCGGCACTGACGTGTCCCCGAGTCAGTAGGACCATTAGCCGGCGTCGCGCTGCTCTCTGCTCCATGCCACGCTGGGTGTGCATGACGGGGTTTCCTGAGGAAAGCAGGGGAGGCCGCGGGGTGGGACCAGCAGGAACAGACGTGTGGATGTCACAGCGCGGGGCACGCAGGGACCACAGCAGCAGCAGCCTGGCCAGGGCACAGGGCAGGGAGCGTGGACGGGCCTGAGAGGGGCCAGAGTCCCACCTGGACGATGCTGGGTTACACAGAGCCTATGTCTTTGTCAGGCATTTTGTTTCTAAGAAACAGACTCCCTCCGGTCAGCACATCAGAGTGTGGGTTGCTGGTGGAGAAGATGGGGCTCCCTGGGCCTCCCAGGGCTCTGCTTCTGCTTCTGTCCTCACTCTTGCTAGCCATGGCTCCGCTCAACCCCACAGCTTCCTTCGTTTCCTCTGCCTCATTTAGCCCCTTTCCCCCCAGCTGAGAAGTGTGACGATCTCAGGGGACAAGAAGGGACAGGACCAGCCTCCTTGATAGCAGAGCAGTGGTGGCCTCTCCTCCCTCCCAGTGTCGGGGTTTCTAGCCTGGATTCAGAGCTGAATCCATTACATCAGTTCTGGGTGAAAGTCCTGGCTTTCTTATTGCAAGAATTAGTAAAATCAAGTCTCTGGAGCTCCTTAAAGATAAAATTATTAAAGTAACGATGCTGTGGTGTTAGCTATGAACTCAATGTGAACAAGTCTGGGCTGGCCGGCGTGGCTCAGTGATTGAGCGTTGACCTATGAATCAGATCACGGTTCGATACCTGGTCAGGGCACATGCCCGGGTTGCAGGCTCGGTCCCCAGTAGGAAGTGTGTAGGAGGCAGCCGGTCAATGATTCTCTCTCATCATTAATGTTTCTCTCTCTCTCCCCCTTCCTCTCTGAAATTACACACACACACACACACACACACACTCACACACACTAATAAAAGGGTAATATGCTCATTAGACCAGATGTCTTCCAGATGTTATTCTGAACATCCTTCCTGACAAAGCTGGGGGCGTGGCTGGCCTGCAAACTGCCAGCATCCCTTTGTCCAGGCTGGCCCCGCCCCCTAGCAGGGACCCCTACCCCAATCGGGGCATGGCTGGCCTGCAAACTGCCTGTGGTCCCTCGCCCAAGCTGGCCCCACCCCCCTGCTGGGAGCCCCCAACCTGCTCCATGGCCCCCTTCAGGGCAGGCCAGCTGTCCCCCACCCATGCACAGGCCTCTATCCTATATAATAAAAGGGTAATATGCAAATTTACCCTAACAGCGGAACAACCAGAACGACCGCTGGACCAGTCACTATGAGGCGCACTGACCACCTCTTGGTCCCTTTCCCCAGCTGGCAGGCTCTGATCACCTGATGGTGAATAGAGAACTGGAGGTGGGTTGGGGTGGGGGACAGGGCTGGCAGCGGGCAGCTGGGGAAGATGGCCAGGCCTAGGGACTGTACCCGCTCACGAATTTTGTGAGCTGGGCCTCTAGTATATATATAAAAACACCACATGAAACAAAACAAAAAATAAATGTGAACTAGTCTGTGGGAACTGCCATCAGTGGGAGACTCTGGCCACAGTCCCAGCACAGCCCCCTCCCCTTCTAAACAAATGCAACCGGGGGCAGGGGGTACGGGTGAGAGGGAAATTCTAGAACCAGCTGCATCTATTTAGAAGAGGAGAAGCCAAACGCGCCAGCAGGAGACTCGGACACATCTCTGATCTCGGCTTCTGCCCCTGCCTAAGCATGCAGCTCGAGGCCACCTGGAGTTCTGAAGGAAAATCTCTATTTCTTTAGAAGCAAATGCTAAGAACAAGAAAACGCTTAGGAACAGGAATTCGGACCGAGTTAAACACCAGAGTTGTTACTAAATGAGATTTAGAAAAATGGTTTGCTTTCACTTTGAACAAATGGAGTGTTTAGAAAGGTCAGAGAGGACCTACACAGTTACCACTGGGTTTGTTGGGGTGAGGGAAAGCGAGGGACAGTGCCACCTTCATGGGGAGGTCGGCTCAGGAAGCAGCCTGACCCCTGGAGGGTCCAGGAAGCACACATGGGGACAGACTGCTTTCTTTCCAGTCCTGGCAAGGATCCTGCGCAGGATTTAGCGGGGCGCACGCTGCACCCCCACTCCCAGCTACAGACTCAAAGGTCATAACAACCCACGTGGGCCTAGTGCGGAGCACCTCCACCCTGAAGGCCGGCACCAGGAACTGGGCTCCTCACCCCCCCGGGGAGCGCGGAGGGTCAGGGCAGAGGCACAGCTGCCTCGAGAGGGGAGTCCGCAGGCTTCCCCCGCTCCGAGGAAGGCTTTCTCAACGCCTGTCTTTCACTTACAGGTTTTATCCTGGTCATTGGGCTGGTGACGTTCTACAGAATCGGCCCGTACACCAGCCTGTCCTGGTCTTGCTACCTGAACATTGGCGCCTGCCTCCTGGCCACCCTGGCAGCCGCCATGCTCATCTGGAACATTCTTCACAGGAGAGAGGACTGCATGGCGCCCCGAGTAATTGTCATCAGCCGCTCCTTGACGGCTCGGTTTCGCCGGGGGCTAGACAATGACTATGTGGAGTCACCGTGCTGACGGGTGCCAGGGAGGGGCCCTGCCTGGGACTTTATCCACTGTAATGGAACAGTCTAGAAACCGAGGGACTGCCTGCTGGAGGCGGCGATTCCCAGGGTTTCTCCTATATGCATATGTACGATACACAGGTATGTTTACTATGTTTATATAAATATATGATCATATATCGTCCGTGCCAGCCTCCCCGACCCACTCACAACCTGGCTTCACGCTCACGCACGTCGCAAGGCGGCCAGCCCGAGATGCACGTGAGGGCGCAGCTGCCCTGCTCAGCGCCCAGGTCTGGGGTTAATTTATTCTGTGCCTGCTGAGACGGGCACCACGGCCACCCTTTCTTTGGTGAAGTAGAACATCCCGGGAAATTTTCTGGAAATGGCTGTATTTTCCTCGAGGGGCTCAGAATTTATAATCAGATGGTTATGGCTTTAGGACAGGAAGGAGTTAGTAATGTCCGTTTGTGCCTGATTATTTTTCTAAGTTAAAATAAAATGGAAACCTCTTACCACTGTCTAAAAATGTGTGTTGTCTCTCCCTACACTGCCACGTGGTAAAAGGAATTTGGTCTGTTTTATGTGTTTTTTGTGGGTTAGCAGTAAGAGAAGGATTGAGACATTTTTAAAGATCTGGTGGGAGTGAAACTTTGGGTGACTCATGTTCTTATTCTCATTTCTGGTCAACCGAGCCTCAGACGCCCACCCTCCTACAGACTCTGCATACTGTGGTCATATGTTGGCAGATGCACAGTTAGTGGAGCCGGAGGGGAAAGTCTATTTGTTTAAAGAAATTCTGAGAGGGGTCCACTTCTCCCACATAAAACCTTTGGCCTCTCTTCAGTCAAACACTTGCTGGGCGATACCTTCACGATGCTACACGGACTCCAAACCACCCAGCTCTTAAACCTGTGAGAGGTGAACAGGCCGTAAGTCTCCAGGCTGAACAGAAAACATTAAAAAACTGGCCCATATCCTCAAGGACTGCCTGACGGCATCTAAAGGACCGGCCTTTGATAGCTGCACGGCTTGTTGAGCTCATGCCACCTGGAAGTGGAATCGCTGTGGCCGTCCTCTGGCCCAGGACGTTGACCCTGGGCGCTGTAGGTGCCATGCAAAGCCAGGGCAAGGCCCGGCTGTCATTAGGCTGAGCCTCCAACCCCAAGAAACTTTTAGCTTTGTTGCTTTTAACGTTCCAGAGAAGTGAGGTGGCCAGTCTGGAATTCAGACTATATCGCTCCAGGATAGTCAGAACAAATGGTCCTGCTCACCATCTGGGGTATGCGGATGCAAACAGTCATAAAGCAATTGAGGATGATTTCAAAGCATCCATGGCCTAATCATCTATAATAAAGCTAGCAGTCAGTGTAGCAACAGCCAGATGCCTGCCCCATAGCCAGTACGCTCATGGGAACATCTAGGTTTGAGCTTCCTCCTTTGAGCTTCTTTCCGACAATGGATTTCCCCCAAATCATATGCTAAAAATAATTGTTTTTGAAAAAGAATAATGAAATATTTAAGATGTATAATTTTAATAATATTATGTATATGATTATATAAATGTTCATTAAAGTTTTAAAGTTGGCCATGTGGTTGATTCTAGTCTGTGATCGTGTTTATATTAAATAAAAAGTGAGCAGAGAAAGGCTGAGCTACGCCATGTAGCCACTCTAGGTCACTCCCAACAAGAGTCCCCTTGTCCACATGGCCAGTGTTGACAAGGCCTCCCAACTGGAACAAGGCTTGGCCTGTTTCAGAAATAAGCCAAGCAACCAAGCTCTCACACTAATTTGAAAGGCGCATCCATGTTACGGAAACCATCACTGCCAATGAGGAAGGCTTGTTCCAGGCAACTTCATTTTCCATCTTTCTCTTCCCACTTTAGCTTCATTCTGTAATAATTTTTCTACCCTTTCGAGATTGAAAGCTGTCAAATGTCTCCGGGAAGAATTGCTGAATTCTCTCAGGAACAGAGAGGAAGCTGCTTTTAGACAGCTGTGATTGACTTCTTTCAGAGTAATTTTAATTGCATTTTCTCTGTACTGTTTTGAGTGTTTCTTATCAAATCTTTTTTGTTTAGTAGCAATTGTTCCCAGAGGGACAGGTATTACAAATACTTAGCAACTGCAGAACTTTCTACTAGGAAGTGTCCAGAACACAATAAAATGAATTAAAACAACTAAATAACAGCCCAAGAGGCTCTAAACATTGCAGAGGCCGAGAGCCAGGCTCACCTGCTCCCTACGCCCAGCTGTGCTGCGCCAAAACTCACTGCTCTACAGCACATGCCAGGCGTGTCCTGGTGCCTGCATGAGCAGCGACGTTTCACTGAGTGAAAAGACCAGGGAATACAGCATGACAGAGTCACAGAAGACTTACTGATCCTTAGACTCTCATCTAGAAGGGGAGAGCAAGTACCCTAAGAGTGTACACATCCCTTCAACACCTCTGAGAACTGAATCTTTACCTTTTGATGAGTTTGATAGATTTGAAAGCTTCGTCCATGTCTCCGACGGCGATGAAGAAGCTGAAGTTGAGCATGGCATTCCGGGTGGCCTTGTCGCAGTCCTCCAGCCCCACGAAATCTCGCAGGGGCCTCCTGCCCACCATCTGGGGGATGCGGTTGTGCTGTGAATCCACCCAGTTGTCTCCGTCTGCTTCTCCTGGCTGATTGAGAAAAGGCACTGATTACCTGTCAGTTCATGTAAAGCTAATGTCTACACTAAGCCTCTCTCACATGTCAGCTACGGGGGTTCCTCTGCAGACAGATGTGGATAGTCAGCAGGAGGCCCTGACAAATGCAACAAAATCAGTCCTCATTTGAAATCAGAGCTTTTGGCTTTGGTTTCATACAGCAGATAAGCAAAGGCAAGTCTATGTACATGAAATCATTTTTCAACCTCTGGTTCCCTAATACCAACTTTTCAAAAGTTGTACAATAGTTGTGAAAATCCTCAGCCTGGCTGGCGTTCTCAGTGGTTATAGCATTGCCAAGTTTGATTCCTGGTCAAGGGCATGTTCCTGAGTGGCAGGTTTGATGCCCAGCCCCAGTCTGGGCACAAACCACAGGCAACCAATTGATGTGTCTCTCTCACATCAATGTGTCTCTCTCTCCTCCTCCCTACTTCCCTCCCTTCCACTCTCTAAAAATCAATGGAAAAAAATATCCTTAGGTGAGGACACACACACACACATACACACACACACACAAATCCCCAACTACCAGCTTTGTTTTGTAAACTAGAAAATTTTTACTAACAAGTCAGACATGTACACATGTGCACAAGGTCTTAAGATGATACAATGCCATCATGATTTCAGGTGGAATTTTCCAAAATGATAACCTGAATTAGTGGAGTGCCCTCCACTGGTTTTTCTCAGAAGAAATGTCAACCTAGTGCAGAGCCCCCCAGACAGGTGTGCGGACAGAATGACTGTCTGAGCAGGAGCTCCATGTTACAGTGGCTGCCTGAGGCCTTTGTGTACCTGGCACCCTGAAATACAACCGACTGAGGGGACCAGCTCTGCCAACAATTGGCTTCCCTCCTGACCGCTGGGTGCTGCTCTCGCCTGCATGCCCACAGTCTCCTCCAGCCTACCGCCCCCACATACCACCCTCTGCTTCCCCACTGTCTGCTTCTTTCTCTCTGCAGGATCCGTTTCTCTGATGTACACACACGCTACCCTGTGTAAAACGGGGTCATGATCCATCCTCCTGGACCAGTGCCCCTGCACGTCACTGGTCTTGAATTTGTGCTACTCCATGATTTCTGCAAGGCTAGCCTCCACCACCTGCTCAGTTTCCAGCAGCTCTTCCATCTCACTGCTGCTTCTCAAGTTCATCTGTGGTCCCCAACTTCAGGGGGTGCTTGACCAGGGCCTTGAGACACTGGTAGGAGTTGTGGATGGCAAGACCCTTCCAGGCACCAGGGCATAATAAGACCCTTCCAGGCAACCCAGGGCAGCTTAAATTCAGAGTTCATGGCCATCTGTAGGCTGGGTCACACTGGGCAGGAGGCTGAGGTTTGGACTGACTTTGCATGGAACAGGGAACCTTTGGAAATGTGCATGTACAACAAACAACTGGCAATGCTGACCACGGTGGTTTAACAATCACAGGGCAGGACCTGAGGCCCATCAGCCCTGCTGCGATCTCATCAGAGCCCTGTTCCTGGGAGCACACTCGGGAATTCTCGCAGAAGCATGAGCACCTGAGGGCCCTGCTTCACCTGCCCCTTCCCCCAGCATTTACACCCACTCTCATTACAGCTCCTCCAGGAGAGACAACCACCTGCCCTGGCCACACATGGGAGCTGGGGGCCCAGGGCTGTTGACTCTCAAGTGTGGGGACAGAAACCTCCAGGATGTTGCCAAGGGAAATAAACACAGGTCCGTAATCAGAAAAAGAGCAGCTTTTAAAGAAATACAAGGCTTTATGGCCGCGGTTCTCAACCTGTGGGTCGCGACCCCTTTGGCGGTCGAGCGACCCTTTCACAGGGGTCGCCTAAGACCATCCTGCATATCAGATATTTACATTACGATTCATAACAGTAGCAACATTACAGTTATGAAGTAGCAACGAAAATAATTTTATGGTTGGGTCACAACTTGAGGAACTGTATTTAAAGGGCCAGAAGGTTGAGAACCACTGCTTTATGGCCATTTACCACAAGCACCTTAGAGTCAAATTAATAAGACTTCCTACATTGCAAATGTAGGTCAACTATTTCCTGGAAAGCAGACATCAGGTGACAGCCTGTGCATGCCACGTCTGGCCAGGACAAGAGCTCTGTGGTGACATGGGGAGCTGATACGGTGTCATATCCTTGATAAATCTGATTAAAGAGGACATGCAGGTGAGGTGGGAAGTGTTGTCATAGACAAGTGTAGCTCAACATAAAGAAAGATCTTGAGAAAAGGGCAGAGTTAAGGTAACAGAGGATAAGTGAGGAGTCATCTTACACTGCATCACACTCGTCTCCTCTCCTGGACAACGAGGGGAGTAGCACAGAGAAGACAAGAAATGAGAGAAAGACGCCGAAACCGGTTTGCTTATTGATTGTTCTCTCTCATCGATGCTTCTAACTCTCTATCTCTCTCCCTTTCTCTCTGTAAAAAATCAATAAAATATATTTTAAAAAAAAAAGAAATGAGAGAAAGACGCATAAATGTGTGAGAGGAACCAAAGTCCACAATGTGAGACAATGGGGGAGGGGGGGGCGCAATAGAAAGAATCCAAATGTCTCCCACAATTTTCTGAGTTCTCCAGTCCAAGAGCAGAAAATGCCAAAGGAGCACGAAACAATGGAATTCAAAATAATGCTCGTCTGGTGGAACCGATCTATTTCAAACAAGGGATTGAGAAAACCTACATCGACACAGCAGAGGGATTCTGGAAAAGCCACATGAGTCCATTCCCAATTTTCACAAAGATCCATTTATCACAAGTAAATGTCAGTCCGTACACTACTCATCATGCCAACAGCCATGCCATGTCATTTTATGTGGTATTTTTAGGGACATGGGAACCAGCTGTGCTCAGGTTCGTTGTTTCGATCGCTCCTGCCATGACACGAGCGGTTTTGCAGTCTCAGAACCACAGACCCACACTCAGCGCGTCAGGCGACGTGCAGGGGCCAGGGGGCCACGCAGCTGAGGAGACCAAGTCCCACGGAAGGCAAGCAACTCGGCCACAGTAACCACATTGGGGCATGAGCATGTATGTGCTGAAAACAACCCTGTCCCCTCACAGACTTAAAACCTACATGTATGTGACGTGCACAAACGTAGGTAAGTACAGACGCCTCCTGCAAGGCCACATGCCAGCCAGTGACCATCTCTGGGGGCTGGGTCTATGGAGATTTGCATCATCTCTGGTCTTTATTTCTCTTTTTGTAGCGTCTAACTGTGCTAGGAATACACAATTTTAAAAACACAGCTGAGTAAAAAGGGCAGGAAGGCTGCAGGGTGTGGTGCCCTCGGGGGAGCCCCTGGGAGGACACCCGCCTCCTCAGCACCTCAGCAAAGCCGTCTCCGGCTCCTCCTCACACTTGCTGGAATTTCAGGGGACCTCACACTTGCCGGAATTTCAGGGGACAAATCGGAGCAGACGGTTCGCCTTGTCCGTGAGCGGTGAGCAGAGGCGCCCCACTTCCCGCCGGGGAGCCCCAAGGCCAGCCCAGGAGAGGGACCCGAGAACGCGCCTGGTGCTCACGAGACTCGCACCTTCTTTGTGAAGTAATAATGGGGCACTTCCATCCCCAGGAGAGACTGGTAGGTGGGAGGCCGTGAGAAGCTGTCCTGGAGCAAGAAGCCATGCTCTTCGGAGATGAAGAAGGACAGGATCAACGCGTCCGCCTGGGAGAGGGAAAGATGGTTGTTAGCCTGGCAGTAGACTTTACTATTTTGTGTCTAATTCCCATTTTCCTTGCCGAGGGATTCACATAGAACACAGATAAAACAGGAGGAGCACATTCTGACGCAGATAATCCACTCTCCCCCAGGCCTCCGGCAACACCAGCCTCCACCGCCATCTCCTGTACTTTGGAAAAACTGGCGCATCTTCTGGAGGATGCACCTCATCCGGTTTGAGAGCCACGATGTCGTTCTCACTGACTGATGTCCTTGTGGCAAGGACTAACATTCCCACCGAGCTGGGATGGACACTCAGAAGAGCTCTCATGTTTAAAAGATCGTCCCCTCAGTCTCTTTACTCTGATCTAAAACCACCCGGAGCAACAATGACAAAAAGACTTCTGCCGCAGCTTCCAAGTAAGAAGGAGTGCATGGGGGAGGGAGGGGAGGCGGGGAGGACTCTTTAGGATCCTGTCCTGCGGGACTCAGAACAGCAGCACCCGGCTGCAGCCCCTTCTGAACAGGAAAGCAACAGGAGGCCCCGGGGTGCGGAGCCTTTTCTTGCTGTGTGAATTCCTACACTTCCTCATCATCTGCAGAAAAGACCCAAAGAGCTATCTGTTCGAACTGCTGGAAAGTGCGCTTCGCGGGTACCAGTGCACTCCCTCATCATCAATTTGCATGTTCTTATCACTTGTCTAGACTTGTCACCAGGCCCGCTACCATGAGGGAAATTCCCCTGGCAACGTCTTCGCTTCTCTCAATCCAGTGAAGAGATGCTACCTCAATACACTTTCCCACTCAGTGCTTCGGAACCAATGGTTGGATCCACTTCGGAAAATCTCGGAGCACGGACACAGATTGCTGATAACCTCAGGGCATCCGAAGGGAAATTCCTTGGCAGGGAGACAAGCCCCTAAAGTTAGAGGGCGGCTGTCCTTCGCTGACTTACTGAAGACCCTGCGTATAAATTCTCTTGGAAAGAGGTGGCTTAAAAAGCGGCACCGCATCCCTAACCGGTTTGGCTCAGTGGATAGAGAGGCGGCCTGTGGACTGAAGGGTCCCAGGTTTGATTCCGGTCAAGGGCATATACCTTGGTTGCGGGCACATCCCCAGTGGGGGGTGTGCAGGAGGCAGCTGATCGATGTTTCTTGCTCATTGATGTTTCTAACTCTATATGCCTCTCCCTTCCTCTCTGCAAAATATCAATAAAATATATTTAAAAATAAAAAGCAGCACAGCAAACCACTGGGCTTTCCCAGGCGCTAGACATCCGTCCCACGATGCACAAGAACGGGAAAGTGTCAGCGTCCAGACCCTCGGGACGTGGCCCTGAGAGTCATCAGGTGGGAGAGGGAGACCCTGCAGAGCTTGGGGAGCGGGTGGCGAGAGCAGAGGCCGTGACTGAGGCGAGGAGGCTGCTTTGGTCAGAATCGTCCGTGTCTGAGCGTCACGGCAAGTTGCGGAACGAATGAGGGGTCAGCACGCTGCCTCAGCGCCTCAGTCACAGGACACGCTGACATCAGGTGGAGAGAGCAGGAGAACAGAGTATTACACTAGCCAGGCAAGACAGAGGGTGGGCTCAGCCTCCTCGTGTCCGCCCACGGGAGAGGCTACACCGGCACACATTCATGTTCCACGTGAATGAATTTCCCTGTAACTTTCCTATAAACCTCATTACCAAGATTGTGCACCCGTAAGTCCCAAGTCCCCATGCCTCTAAACACAGATGCGGCTGCGCAGTACCGTGGGGCCGGCGCTGTCCTTGGCGTGGGCCTTTCTGTCCGTGGGCTGCAGCTGGGCTCCCGTTGCCTCCCGCACGGCCTCGCACACGAACAGCCTGGGCTCGCTCTGATCCCAGAAGTGGCTCACGGGAACAAGGTGCGCCAGCGTCCCATCCCCGAAGGCATAGCTCCTGAAAGAGAGGCCCATGGGAACCCATGAGAGAGCTCCTGTTCTCAGCCTCCGCAACACCTTCAGGCCGGTCTCCAATCAGCGTCAGGCCTCACCGGAGGGAGCACACTGCCTGGGAGCACACCGGCACACCGTGTTGCAATGCAGCCCGTCTGATCGTATCCTTTCACATTTAAAACAATTGGTTGAAAGAGTCCCAGTGGAGTCTAATGGGAGAGACAATGAGGCTTGGGCTCTAGAGGTCACATGGAAGGTCCCTGATGCTGGTCCCAAAGTCCGGGACCTGGGGGTGGACCTCAAGGTGGGACAGCACCCCCTGCTGGGCAGCTTTGCGCCTGGGGTCCATTTCCAGCCGTGACCCATGTGATGCGGTGCATTTACCCCTGGTCCCTCCCTCCTTTAAATCTCCTTGTCTATAGGTCCAGAATGCAATGAAGAACTGAAGGGAGAAAAAATGGGCTGGGTGGCAAAGAATGGATCAGATCTCAAAAGAAGGCAGGCAACTGACAAAAGACAGGGAGCCCCACCCCACCCCAGGGAGTATGAAGGCCTGGAGAGGCTCCATGTGCCTGTGTGGCCATGCAGGAGCCAGGGGACCTGACCAGCAGCCCTCACAGATGTCACTGCTCCAAGACCAAGCACACAGCAGGGCAGGTAAACAAGCATTTGTGGTGACCCACAGAGTGCCAGGGGCACCTCGGGACTGGCCTGGCAAGGAGGGTGGACACAGGGTGTGGCTCAGGGGCTCCCGCAGCACGAATAGCAGACAGTGCGGAGGGGGAAGCGTGACTCAGAGGCATTTCCAAACAAGAACACTGGGGACTAGAGTCACAGAGAGTGGAGGTAAAGGGAAGGTTAGTTCTGAGGTTTCAGATCGGGACCCAGAAAAGCGGTGCTGTGGGGAGTGAGGCGGAGCTGGGGTCCGTTTCTGAGGTGATGGCAAGAAACTCCAGGGACGCTTAGAGATGGAGAGTGAAGCCAAACTTGGTGGGAAGTGAAGATAAGCATTTTCAGGTGGGGCCACCAGCAGATGTGAGTTTAAGCCACCAGGTAAAAGAGGTTTCCAGAAAGGGACTCTGAGGAGGAGGGGGGGGGGGGGGCGTGGGAGGCAGGCTGGACGGGGGCAGGAGAGGGCTGTGACAGGAGCAAAAGGAACAGGGCAGCCAGAGAACAGCAGCGGCTCAGCCATTCCTGGCAGCCGCTCTGCCCTGCCCCAGCCTGCCGGCTTCCCGCCTCTGCACTCCCTTTGCTGCTTATACACTGACCTGCACAGGGGCCACGCAGCTGCTCCCACAAGGGCCAGAGTCAGGCCCCGCCCTAGCCCCCCAGCCCTCTGAACACTGCACTTTGCTCTCAGGAGGCACTTTGTGCAGAATCAAATGTGAACTGTAGGCGCAATAATATAAGGCCCAGTGGTCGGCAAACTGCGGCTCGCAAGCCACATGCGGCTCTTTGTCCCCTTGAGTGTGAGCAGGAAGTGTCAATCGCATGGTACGTGCGCGCCCGCACATGGTATTTTGTGGAAGAGCCACACTCAAGGGGCCGCAGTTTGCCGACCACTGGTAGAAGCACTTAAATTCTGTGAATATTTTCTTAGTAGTAGAAGGACCTACAAATACACAATCTGTGAACTCCCTGGAGAAAGAGTCCTTTTTTTCTAGAAACACATTCTCTAAAGACACACGCCATCCCGACCATCGGAGACGTGGAGAGGTCTAAGGACCGTGCAATTCCCTCTCCTGGGATGTGGGGCCGTTTCTGTAGACACCTCAGTCATGGCCCTTTCAGACGCTAATTCCAGAACCTCAGAACCTCGAAAACAGAGATTAAAGGTCCGGATCGATCCCAACCGCACAAGTGTGCTTCTCCTCCACCTTCCGTCTTCACTATGAATAACCGCCTGGCTCTCCTGAGGTCAGAGCTTAGAAATCCCCCCAAACCACAATCTTACTTCGTAGTTTCCTGCCCATGAAAGGACAATGCCTCTCTCTGATCGATCTGTCCCATCTTGAAGTCAAAGACGGTCACCGTGTCCATTTCCACGTCATAGAAACAGATTCTGGAATCGGGGCTGCTGTCAGCCTAGGGGAAGAGAGACCAGAGGCTCAGCACTCGCGTCTGAGAAAGCCCGTCCTGGCGTCAACGGCCCGGCCACTCGGGCCAGAGTGCGTCCAGCATCAGAACCTGAATGTCAATTTACTGTCATCCCACAAAATGGTTGCTGAGTTGCTGCTTTATAATTTCAGAGAATTGAAAATAACCTCCCAAATGTTGTGAAGGTCAACGACAGCTGTCCAGCTGTTCTCAGTATGGACTTGAGTGCGATGTCCTTTTAGCTGCGGTGGACTGGCCACGGGAACAAGGAGTCTGGATTCGGATAAACCAGCTCTGGTGCAGCTCCCTGGGGGTGACTGGCGTCTGAGGAACGGCTCAGCACCCGTGTGGAAGGAACGAGGTGGCCCTCCCTCTGGGAATCCTCTCCCAAGTATCCTGGGCTCTGAGCTCTCCCTCTCACCTGCTCACCAGCCGGGCTCATACTCCCCCCACTCCCTAAAGACATTCCCTTGATTAGGTCAACCCCAGGCACCAGTCAACCTCTCTTTGTTCTTCCCAAGTCCCAGCCCTGCCCATACAGTCAGGGCGTGAGCAGGGCTCTCAGTCACAGCTGCATCTTCGGACAAAGAATTTGTCTCAATCTCTTCACTCATTAGACAGGAACTGTTAGGTGCAAGATGCCACAGCTACCACTGCGAATGCTATCATCTCACTCATCATCTCTCCTTTATTCTTGATCCTCACACGGAAAGGTACATGTGCACACGCAAAAGAAACCGAGAAAAGGGAACCAGCTTGCTAGGGGCAACAAATGCCAAGAACTTAGGTAGACTTCATTCTACTAGGGTTCACAGCTTGGCTCCACTATCACCGCGTGTGGGAGCCTCCTGACTTCCCTCGGCGGCAACTCCTCCCTGTAAATCGCTCTCCGGGCACTGGCAGTGTCCTCCCAGCTCTCACCAGGGTGTAAAAATGTACGCGTTTGCCTCACCCTTTGATCAATGTCTGTTCAACCACAGTGGGGAGCCAGATCCTCCTTTAACTGATCAATCTGTATCTACAGTGCCCAGCAAAGCACACTGTGCATGGAAGCAACCCATAATCAACTCTTGAATGCGTGACCAAGAGCACAAACGAATGAAAACATGAACATGCTAGTGGGAGGCAAGGCACCAGCCACCGGCGGCAGGACCAACATGCCCTCCGTCACCTTGCCTTCAGCCCTCCACGCAGGTGCCCACACCCTGACGTCACGCCGTCTCCAGCAACCCTGTGAACCCCTTGGGCTGGAAGAGTTTAGTTGGGCAATGAAAAGAGACAGAAGAGAGGAGAGGTGAGGGGTTCTGTAAAGAAGAAACCCGTGTCTGATGAAATCAGAAACGAAGAAAGGCAGGAATAAACGGAAGCTGTGTAGGTGGGGAGGGCAAGGACAGCACCAGGTGGGAGAGGGCACGGGCAGGAGGAGCGGACCCCCAGGAGAGGGGATGAAAGAGGAAGAGGAATGGAAGCTGAGATACAAAAGTGGACGCAAAAGGCACGGACAGGAAGGCCCAGGGTCCTGTGAGAGCAACTAACGGAGACCGAGGAGGAGGCACAGAGGCCCGCCCCATGGGCACCCACCTTGCTGGGGTGGATGCTGATCTTGTTGCCGTTGGCATTACATCTGAGCGACACAATGCCGCCCACACCAGGGACCAACTCGGCCAGGTTCTTGCAGCTGCAGTGCACCTTCGCCTCCCTGCAGGAGGAGGACAGGGTCAGCGCACACTCACCGAAGGGTCGCTGTGCACGGCAGGTCAGAGGAAGGCCCTGCTTCGCCAGTGACCCCAAACCTTTGTTCACAGAACTAGTCCCGCCCAGTGGCCCAGCTGCTCTCACTCCCGGGTGCCTTATGCCCCAGGAAACAAGGCAACCGGCCAGGCTCAGAACGCAGGGTGAATTTATAAGTTCTCACGTTCTTATCAGCAAATATGAATATGTCATTTCCTCCTCCTCCTGCCCCGCTGCGTTTCCCCTTGCAGCACTTTGTGATCTCTCCTTTCAGAACGGGATTGCTATATCACACTATTACAACTGCATATGTTCCATCACAGGGATGAACTCAAATGTACTTAACTCCTCCCGTTTAGCTGGTTCTAGTTTGTTACCTATAGAAACAACCCTGGGTTTGCTCATCATGATTTTTTTTTTACTTTATTCACTCTTCCTCAGTTCCTCCCTAACACCCCTTCTGTCCCAGGATCCCAGCGGGACCCACATGACTTCTGGTCATCAGGCCTCCGTAGGCTCCTCTGGGTTGGACTCCTGCTTTTCACGCCCATGCAGATTTAAGGACTGGTCAGCTGTTCTGTGGAGTGTCCCACCACCCCGTGGGAAGGAAGGGTCTGGTGTTTTTCTCATGCTTCGTCTGGGGTGTGGGTTTTAGCACAAGAACCCACAGGTACAGTGCCGTTGTCATCACATCATGTCGGGGTCTGTGCTGCTGATCCTGGTCTCTCCTGTCTGGGGTCATGTCTGTAAGTTACTCGTTTTCCCCCTCCCCACACTGTCCCCTTTGGGAGGACGTCACTATGTACAGCCCACACTTACGAAGTGGGGGGTTATGTCCCCGTCCATGGGGAGGAGGATCTACATAAACTATTTGCAATTCTTCTGTGAATTATTTGTCTCTCTTCCTCTACTTACTAGCTTATTCGTCACCTATTTATATTAGCATGAATGCACAGGTATTTATTTTCTACTTTGGGTTCTAATACAAAGCTGCTTTATTTATGTTGTTGCTCAAATTGTTCCAGCTTTCACCTTGGGCCACTAGGAACTCTTTTGGGTGGCTCCTATGTCCCCTGACACACCCCATCATTATATATATATATTAGCATTTTCTCACTTTCTGACATTTAAGACACTCTGGGCTCATCTTGAACATTGGCTGCCTCAGCCCTAGATCAGCCGTTTCTCCAAGGACCCTGGCTCCTTGTTTGGGAGATGCTGTTAGACACCCGAGTCTGGGCCCTGGGGTGCTGGTTGCTCTGGGGGTCCTTGCCTCTAGGCCAGCCGTGGGCAAATTACGGCCCGTTTGAAATGAATAAAACTAAAAAAAAAAAAGACTGTACCCTTTTATGTAATGATGTTTACTTTGAATTTATATTAGTTCACACAAACACTCTATCCATGCTTTTGTTCCGGCCCTCCGGTCCAGTTTAAGAACCCATTGTGGCCCTCGAGTCAAAAAGTTTGCCCACCCCTGCTCTAGGCCCTCAGCTGACAGAACAAGGAAATGTGTGTGCACTGACTGGTGTATAGACACATTTGCATAACCATCTTCTTATGTGTCCACTTATATCCATATTAAGCTAAACAAGACTTCAAATTTGTGTCTCCAGTTCTAATCCATCACCACAGAGATCACTCTTGCCTCCTCCATGCTTGTCCCAACCTCCCACCCCAATAGGGAGGACCCAGCCCCCAACACCCTCCATCCATGCGCTTCACTGCTCACTGCCAGCGTAGCAGTACCGGATTGTCACCCGGCCCCTGTGGGAATTAACTTTGTCAACCAGAGCACCGTGCTTTGAGTCTTACAGTCGCCACTCATACCCAAGTGGCTCAGGTCGGCCACACGCCCCCCAGTGAGCTTGTCTCATGCATTGGTAATGCAGGTGGATGTTCTGTCACCTCTGCACTCCATTCTGGGATCCCCCAATCTAAAAGATTTGTTAAAAATGTGCACACGCTTTGCTGAGAAGTTCTATGGGTTTTGACAAACAGACCAGGCTCTGTATCTATCACACTGAAGTTTCCTTACCCCTAAGAAACCCCCCATGCATCACCTGTTCAACCCCTCTCTTCTTCCTCATCATGGAAAGATTGAGAATTTAAGCCAAAACAGGTGTTTAAAAAAATTTAGTGGCATGTTAGTGTTGAAAGGAGAACATAAGGAGTTTTCTAGCTCCTGTCCATTTCATACCCGCCACATTATCTCCTAACTTTTAAAATGTAATCCTTTCATTTGGACACACAGTGTACCTTCGGGAAAGATCGAAGCTTTTAAAGTGGGCCAAGTCTGTCCCGATGACCAGATAATTTCCACAGATGTCAAGGAAGCATGGGTTCCCCTCCGTCTCAGAGAAGAGCAGGAGCTGTTTCACGGTCCCCTGAGGAAAGGAAAGATGAGGAGCTCAGAAAAGCTGCTGTGTAGCATTTAGTCATAAACTTTTATGACTAAACATTATTTACAGAGGATCCCGTGTGCTCCACTCACGCACTCAGACAATGGACTGATGGCTCAGTGTGCGACCAGCACTCTGCTGGGCTCTAACACGACACAGGGAAGGTGGCCCTGCCCTCAGGGAACCCCTCATACTTACGGTCCCGAGAGGGAGACAGACATCCGCTAGGTCAACAAGCAAATACACATGTAACCTCAACCTGAGGAAGCGCTAGGGAGGTGTCAGGATGCTAATGGTGGTGAGACGGTCAATCCCATCTGTTTGGGTTGGTCCAGGAGGCCTTGTCTACATAGGTATTAAGTGAAAGCCTCTGATATACTTACTATGTTGCCAGTGTCACATAACCGGTTGCCTTTGGGGGGAAAGGTGAGTGAGTGGATGGGACAGTAGTTACATCATGGGTGTGTTCCATTTGTGAAAACTCACTGAGCTGTATGAACACTACGGACGACAGGGCCTCTTTCCTGGGCGTGTATCACACTTCAGTAAAACATTTGAGGAGTAAATCTTGTCTGGAGGTAGTATTTAAACTGAGGTTGGGGAGAAGGAGCCAGCTGTCTGGAGGGCTGTGGGCCATCCTTTCAGGAACAGAAGATGGCATGTACTGGAACAGGAAGGGCTGGTCTGGGAACCCCGAGGCCCCCGCCATGGGAAGGAACAAGCCATGGTGAGGCCACGTGGGGTGGCACTAGTGCAGGCCAAGAGTCACGTCCAGAGGGAAAGAGTCAGATTTTGTTGAAAGTGAAGCTGGAGGACTCTAAAGGGTTTTGAGCCATGAGGTAATTTCATAACTAATTACATTGCTTAAAGTGTTTAAATGTCATTTAATTTAAAACATCACTCTTAACAGCACATTGAAAGAGTGGCCACAGTCAGGCTGGGTAGCGCTTGGGCTTTGCAGCACGTCTTGGATACAGCTGACCTGCTCCTCTGAGTTAAAAGAGGCTCCTGGCTCAATTCAAGCAGTGATCAGGGCGTGCCTGCATCCTGCATAGCACCAGGGCGGGAGCAGGCCCTCTGACAGTGAGCGGCATGTCCCTGGGAGCTTGGAGAGGGGGCGCGAGGCGTGCATAGCTGAGGGCATCACAGGGCTGGGCTGGGCAGCAGTGGGGGCATAGGTCCAGCGCACGGGAGAGAGTGAGGAAGCAAGCTGGATGACAGGGAGGGTTCCAACTGAGCTTAGTGAGCTCATAATACTAAACAGAGAGAGACTCCGAGAGCAGGCGAGGCGGCAAAAACCTGTGCAAACTGTCCAGGAGTCTCGGGTTGGGGGATGAATGGCCAGGGGGCAGGAAAGAAGGAAGTCTAAACGAAACAATCTGATCTTCATTTTGATGCACCGAGCAGGAGCTTAATAAATGCTTGTGGAATAAGCAAACAGCTGCTTAAACGTAGGGTCAAAGGAAGAGTCACAGGCGACTGCTGACTGGACCAAGGACGACTGCACTAATGATGACAGGATGGTGTATCAGCCTCCTCTGCTCAGCCTCTCCGCTGCTGCTCCTTACACTCTGTGTACCAGGGTACACACTTGAACTCGCTTGCTTCTACCTTGGTTCAACTATCATCTTTACGTCAATGTATTCCAAATTCCCAAATTTATTGCCTTAGAGCAATGATCTGGCCCCTGATCTCCAGAATCTGTATTCCCTTTTTTTTTTTAATACCTCACCCAGGGAGTGAGGGTATTATTTTTCCATTGATTTTTAGAGAGACAGTGGAAGGGAGGGGAAAGAGAAAGAGAGAGAGAGGGAAACATCAATGTGACACACTGATTGGTTGAAACCTGCATGCGGCCTGACTAGGACCGGGAATCGAACCTGCAACCCAGGTACATGCCCTTGACCGGGAATTGAACCCGAGACCCTCTGGTGCTCAGGCTGACTCTCTAACCCCTGAGCCAAGCCAGCCAGGGCCAGAACCGTATTTCCAACTAGCTCTTGGGCATCTCTGAAGGGTGTCCAAGGTAGGCCTAGTACCTTGCACCTGGTACTTCCAAACCTGCACTGTTTCTGTAGTTTCCATCTTAAGGCATCACGCCCGGCCAGCATGGCTCAGTGGTTGAGCATTGACCTATGAACCAGGAAGTCATATTTCAATTCCAGGTGAGGGCACATGCTAGGGTTGCTGGCTCGGTCCCTAGTGTGGGGTGTGCAGGAGGCAGCCAATCAATGATTATCTCTCATCACTGATGTTTCTAGTTCTCTCTTACTCTCCTTTCCTCTCTGAAATCAATAAAAATATATTTGAAAAAAAATTTAACCCAGACTCCCAAACTAGAAAACTCAGCCCTGGCTGATTAGAGCATCAGCCTCTGCACTGAAGGGTCATGAATTCCATTCCTGGTCTAGGGCATGAATCTGGGTTGCAGGGTCGATCCCCAGACCCAGTCAGGGCCCACGTGGGTGTCAACCAATTGACGTGTCTCTTCCTCCCTCCCTCCCTTCCACTCTCCAAAAATCAATGGAAAAAATATCCTTGGATGAACATCCTCAATTTTTTCGTCTCTGCTGCCACCCACCATCCAACTGCTCACCGACTGATTCATCCCTCCCTCCACTCTGGCCTCAGCTCCCAGCCTACCGCCTGGCTCCAGGCCCTTAGGCCTCTCACCTTTGGCATCTCCTACCTGACTTCACTGTGTGCTGCTCCCCTAGTCTTTCCCGCTACCCTGACCCAGAACTTACCTTCTAGGAGGAAAAAATAAACACAAGAAAAAAGCAAGTCAAAACGTCCCCTTCCCTCCTCTCCGGGCTGCACAACCCCCACTGTTTTGGGACTGGCCCACCGGCCCTCCTGCTGCGTTCCCCACTTCTCTGCTCTCGCCTCGGCGTAAGCCTCCAGCAGCATCTGTCAGACACCAGCCCTTTCCTCAGCCCCAGCCTCTGTATAAACGAGCCCACCCCCGGGTGCCCGTCACTGCTCCTCCACCCAGGCCACTCACTGCACAAACAGTATGAAGGCCTGGGAGGAGAGGAGCTCTACATGTTAGCCCGGAAGGAGGCCCCATTAGGAAACTGGAAGGTGCCTGTCATGGTCCAAACGAGCACCAACTGTCGTCTGCGTGGCCACCGCTGCACCAGCAGGAAGAAGGGTCTGAAAAGACACACTGCAGGCGTCCACAACGGGAGTGCTCCCAATCGTCCCCTCACACGTGCTGGCAGGGTGTTACTCCTTACAGTGGGCACACAGTCCTCTAGTTAAAAAATTAACAGAAAGGACAACTCCAGGCCACCTGTTGTGGGACATCCTCCAAGCCCACTGGCAAGGCTTCTCAGTGGCCTCCAGCTTTCCCAGCAGGCCCCTCTCCCCTTCCCAGCAGACCCTTGCCTTTGCTCACTATGCCGTTTGCCCTTCCTCAGTGTGCTAGCAGTCCTTTCCCAGAAGGCCGTCCCCCCCCCACCACCCTCACACACACCCCCCCCGCCCCAAAGCCTCCAGCCCTCCAGTGCCCCGCAGGTCATCTCTCTGCTGACAGAGCTGCCCCCGTCATCTGTTCTTAAGAACATGACCCACCCAACTGTCATTGCAAGGAAGGTGAACTTTCTTTTTTGGTTCATCCTCATCTGAGGATACTCTTCCATTTCCCCCCCCCACCACCCTCACACACACGAAAGACAGAGAAACATCGATGTGAGAGAAACACATCGATCGGTTGCCTCTTGCATGTGCCCTGACCAGGGCCCAGGCCGGGGAGGAGCCTGCAACCAAGGTATGTGCCCTTGACCGGAATCGAACCCGGGACCCTCTGGTCCGCAGGCTGACATTCTATGCAGAGCCAGCCCGGCTAGGGCAGGAAGGTGAGCTCTCTTTGCACAGGATGCCCACCTCCAGCCTCTGCCTCCTCTCTGACCTTCCACAGGCAGAGGGTCTTACGGGACTGGCAGGTCCCTTAATCTGCACTCGCCCCTGGGAGGGCACGTGGGCTGTGGGCTGCTTCCCACACCATCAAGTCTCTACTCCTCTGACTCCCCTGTGGTATCCCCATCCCTCTCCTGCTGAGTGTGCCCCTTCACTCCTCCTATGGGAACTGCTCCTTTGGGAACTGCTGAACGAAGGAGTGGGGGAGCAGCATTGAAAGGTACAAGAACATGGATACAGATGCCCCCGAAACCAAATGCTGGACCCCAGGACAGGATTCAGAGCTGGACGAAGCAGTTGCACTGAGCGCTGAAACCAGGGCCATGATAGGTGTTCTTGACCTTGACGCAAAACACTGCTACATTTACTGGGTTGAATGGTGACCAGCAAAAGGTATGTTCCCTCAGAACCTGTAAAGGTGACCTTATTTGGAAAATGGGTTTTTGCCGATATAAGTTAAGGACCTCAAGAGGAGACCTTTCTGGATTAGGGTGGGCCCTAAATAAACCCAGTGTCCTTATAGGACACAGAAGAGAAACACAGACCCAGGGAGAGGCCGTGAGAAGATGCAGGCAGAGGCTGCAGTGATGCATTTACATGCCTGGAGCACCCAGACTGCCAGCAAGCACCAGAAACTGGGAGAAGCCTGGGATGCATTCTCCCCCAGCCTCAGCAGGAGCCAGCCAGCTCACACCTGGCGTCCTGAACTGTGAGAAAATAAACTTTTATTGTTTGAAGCCACGCAGTTTGTGATACATTTTTATGGCAGGCTCAGCAAATGAATACAGCACGCCAGCTGCCGGGTTCACACATTCCGTGTATGTGGGATGCAGATAGATAAGGGTTTCTTTTGTTTGTTTGTTTTTATTGATTTTAGAGACAGGAAGGGAGAGGGAGAGAGAGAGAGAGAAACATCAATGATGAGAGAGAATCATCAATCAGCTGCCTCCTGCACACCCCCTGCTGGGGATCGAGCCCAGAACTTGGGCATATGTCCTGACCTCCTAGTTCATGGGTTGATGCTAACCACTGAGCACACTGGCAGGTCAGAGTTTCTTCACACCACCGAGAGGGAACAGAATAGTGTTCGAGGTCTGTCATTTGGAGGCATGAATTGCTTCCATCCTGGCCTCTCCCTCAGACACATGCACAGAAAGGCCTGTCCAAAGATATTATGTCCTAAACTAATGTCTCCTTCGCCCCCAAGATGCACAGCAAACATTGCCTCCCATTCCACAATCCCATGTACTCAATCAAGGTCCAGTAATCTAACCTCCTCACTGCAAAAGGCCCTTGCCCTGCCTACTGATTTCTGAAGTCACAACAGTTACAGAGGGAGCAGCTCTCCAGCTCCTGATCTGTCTGGATAAACCCAATGTGCAGGCTCTGGCTTCACTTGGAGCAAGTTTGCTCTAATTGTCTTCATCATCAGAGCCCACTCGTTCTGGGGCAGCAACTTACCTGCCAGGTTCGAACTTGAACTCGATTTGGCTCCACCGTGTAAAGGTTTTCCTCGTGCATCGCTAACACTGGAGACTCACACAGAAAGGTCCCTAAAATAAAGATAAACATGACAGCAACAGCTAAATATCTCATGCCTCCTCAGAGTTTAAGAAGCGTTTTCACACACGTTCCCTAATTCGCCTCAGACCCCATAACAGCTTTGTGAGGGGTGTGTTTTCTGCATGTTGCAGGTGAGGAAAGCAAGGCTCTGAGGGACAGGGAACTGCCCACAGCCAAGCTGGCAGGGACGGCTTGTGCAGGCTGCAGGCCTGGGGTGGACACTCAGTGCCGGGCCCTGCACCACGCATCAGTGGTGTCTCTTTTCTCCCTCCTGGCAGCACAGCCCCTATGAGGGCACAATGGTTTAAGCAAATGTCTGCTTAACTTATGTGGAACTTTGGAGGCCACAAGCGCTGGTCTCTACACTAGTTTCTAGACAGGCTCTTATCTGGTTGGGGAGACGATTACACACACAAGACAGAATATCTCAGTGCCTGCTGTGCTGTTTGTCCTATGGAGTGAATAAGAAGCTCATCCTGCCCCTAGGGGGCCTACACTAGAAGAGAGGAAAAGATGCCAATTACCAGCAAAATACAAGCAGAGCAAGAAAAGTGTTAGGAGAGAATTTCAGGCAACAAAGCATTAGAGGGAAAAAACAGGGAATGGTCTGAGGTGATAACCAGCACAAACATGCCCAGAGAGGTGAGGTGTTCAACGGAACACATGGAGGGCGCATCCTTGGGTCGCGTGAGGGGAGAGGGCCGAGGTCAGGACGGCTGAGCCAGCTGAGGGGCACTCTTCATGGTCGCTGTGTAGGCTGGAAGCCACCCCCTAAGGTATCACGTCCTCATCCCTGGAACCTGTGAATCTCAGCTTCTGTGGCCAAAGATACCAGGGTCTGGGGATGGGGAGAGTATCCTGGGCCTTCCAGGTGGGCCCCAAATGCAATCACAAGTGTCACTATTCAGAGGGAGGTAGAGCCCTGACCGGTTTGGCTCAGTGGATAGGGCGTCGGCCTGCGGACTCAAGGGTCCCAGGTTCGATTCTGGTCAAGGGCATGTACCTTGGTTGCGGGCACATCCCTAGTAGGGGGTGTGCAGGAGGCAGCTGATCGATGTTTCTCTCTCATCGATGTTTCTAACTCTCTCTCCCTCTCCCTTCCTCTCTGTAAAAAAATCAATAAAATATATATATATTTTTTAAAGAGGGAGGTAGATTTCAGACAGGAAAAATGCAACCCCAAGCCAAGGACTGCCAACAGTCACCAAAAGCTGGAAGAAGCAAGAAACAGATTCTTCCCTAGAGCTCTGGCGGGACGCAGCCTGCTGACGCCTTGACTCCGGGCCTCTCACCTCTACACCTGTGAGAGAATAAGTTTCTTTTTAAGCCACTGAGTTTGTGCAGCTTCAGAAAACTCCTACAGGCATGTGCTGAAGAGTGGAGGGTAAGGCAGCCTAGTGAAACAGAGAGCCGGCGAGACTGACGGGACAGAGAGAGCCGTTTGAGCGTGACGAAGCCTCTCTGGTGATCCGTCCTGACATTGCCAGGCAGAGGCTGGCCTTGGTCAGGAGGCCCTGGGGCTCACAGCTCTGTGCGGTCTGGATCCAGTTCAAAAGTCGGGTGTGTAGCAACTCCGTCCCCTGGGCAGCACTGTGATATGTGCCAGTGCAGCCTTATTTCTGAGCCGTTTTATTGTCCTGGATCCAGCTTGCTGACCCCGGATCCAGCTGCGCTTCTCAGCCACCTTGAGGGGCTTCAACAGGGAGAGGCCCAGGAGGCCTGAGAGGCCCTGGCAGCTCAGGGCCAGAGCTGCACCACTGACTCTGGAAACACAGGCATGAGAACTGATGTGCGAGTCTCCCATGGCCCTGTGCCAGCCCTCCGCCCAGACCACAGCACCAGCACATCCCACCCCATCAGACGGTGAGAAAAGAAAGCCTGGTGCTGAGTGTCCCTTCTGCTGGGGTGGGGGTGGGGGGGTTCCTACCTGCATTTCTCAATATGGCTCCAGAAGGCTCAAAGACCACCACCTGCTTTCCATTCCAGACAGCGACAGCATCCTACAAAGGACCGTGGACATGAAAAAGCAACCGGCCATCTGGGCCCCTTACCATCCTGAATGACCCTACAACTGACCGGGTCTTCTGTCTACACTGAAGACCCCCAACCGACCCCACAGGTCAGCCTCGCAGATACCTTGGTGATGAACACTCCGCTGATGTGCATGTCCGTGCGCAGGTTGTATGTCAGCCCCGTGGAGAGGAAGGACACGTTGAGTAAGCTGGGGCAAAGCTGCACCGCGGCCGCCTGCTGGTGGAAGTGCGAGGACATGGCCTGCGCGCTGAGGATCACCACGGCGTTCGTGTTGTTCACCGCCAGGAGGTTCTTCCTGGAGCCCCACTTCATTTCCACGTTGGAGAGAAGGAACCAAGAGTGTGAACAGAGGAGAGGTACAGTCAGGAAAACATTATTCATACGAGGATTCATAAACAATTTCCCAGCACTATTTCTTCCTGTTCAAAATTATTTTTAAAATGTTGTAAGTATAAAAGGTGTACATTGTACAAAAATTTTAGAATACTGATACTCAGCGTTGTGATGAAGCTGGTAGCTGCCTAGATGGCTGTTTTCGCTCGTGTCTGTTCTCACTGGTTGAACATCTACAATTTACTTTTCTTTAAAAAAATGTTTTCATTGATTTTAGAGAGATGAAGGGAGAAACATCGGTGTGTGTGAGAGAGAGATTGATCAGTTGCCTTCTGCACGCACCTCACCGGGGATCAAATCTGCAACCTGGGTATGTGTCCTGACTGGGGATCGAACCAGCAACCTTTTGGTGCCCAGAACAATATTCAACCACTGAGCCACACCGGCCAGGGCTACAATTCACCTTTCTGATGTTAATTTAGAGGTGCTTACTTTTTTTTAAAAAATATATTTTATTAATTTTTTACAGAGAGGAAGGGAGAGAGATAAGAGAGTTAGAAACATCGATCAGCTGCCTCCTGCACATCTCCCACCGGGGATGTGCCCGCAACCCAGGCACATGCCCCCGACCGGAATCGACCCTGGCACCTTTTGGTCCGCAGGCTGACGCTCTATCCACTGAGCCAAACCGGTTTCGGCGAGGTGCTTACTTTTTAAAATTCATAGCAAACCTAACATAACATATTAAATTATCCAGCTTTCCTCTGATATAAAATGCACATTTATAATTTCATATTAAGCTTCCAATCTATATCAATCTGTTTCTGGATCTCCTATTCCACTCCACTGATATATTTATCTACTCCTGATTAACCACTGTTGTTGTTTTTTTCCAATTTTTATTTATTGATTTGAGAGAGAGAGAGAGAGAGAGATAGAGAGAGAGAGAGAGAAAAGATTTTTTTGTTCCATTTATTGATGCATTCATTGGTTGCTTCTTTTCATTAGTTGTTTCTTGTATGTGCCCTGACCTGGGATCAAACCCACTACCTTGGCATATTGGGACAACACTCTAACCAGCTGAGCCATCTGGCCAGTGTCATAACCATTGTTTTAATTGCTAAAGTTTGAGATATATTCTGGTATATTATACAGAAATGTTCGGATTGTTTATACTTTTTTTTCTTGGCCATCTGCTCTCCCAGATGAGTTAAGAATTACTGTGTTGAATTCTCCCAGGGGAAAAAAGTCCTTATTTTTACTGTGTATACATGTCATTTGTGGATTTATTTGGGAAGAAATGACGCTTTTACAAGACTGAGGCTTCTCTTTGAGAAACAGGGTATATCTAACATTTACTCTGTTTTCTTTTACGTTCTTTAGGAAGGTTAGTGTGGCTCATTCTATTATTTTATTTTTATCCTTATTTGAGGGTTGCGCTGGGTTGCCTCCTGGTTATTTTTATTGATTTTTAGAGAGAGGAAGGGGGGGGGGATATTGACTAGTTGCCTCCCATATGTACCCCGACTGGGGATTAAACTCTCAACCTAGATAGGTGCCCTGACCAGGAATTGAGCCTGCAGCTGTTTGGTGTATGGGACAATGCTCCTATCAACTGAGCCACCTGACCAGGGCCCATTCTATTATTTTAAATGGCATTTCTTTCATTACCAGGGAGGTTTCACGTTTTTCATGTATTTTACTAACTACTCCTAGGTAAATTATCTCCACCATTTTTTCCATTAAAGCTCTCAATATTTTTCTTTTTTATTTTAAGAGTACGTTTATTAAAGTTGCAAACAGTGAAACAAAAAAAGGGCTTAGGATAGAAAAATACCAGGGGAGAGCCTATGTGTGCTCTGCCGTGGCTCTCTAGATATGTTATAGGGAAGAAGTGAGCCACACTGAGCTGTGTGGACTCACCTGGGAAGAGCTCCCTGGATGCAAATCTCATGGGACCCTTAGCATTTAGGAGAAAAAAATAAAGATGCATGCCAGAGAGGGAAGAAAGGTGTGGGTATGCTCCAGAGAGAGTACACTTGATATTTTCCTTATAAATGTCAGTTTTCTTCACGTCCTCTATTCTAAGACTAGAGGCCTGGTGCACGAAATCATGCACCAGTGGGGTTACATTGGCCTGGCCTGCAGGATCGGGCCAAAATCTGCTCTTCAACATCCCCCGAGGGGTCCCAGATTCCGAGAGGGCACAGGCCAGGCCGAGGGACACTGGTGCACAATCGGGGACGGGGAGGGACATGGAAGGTTGACCAGCTGGGGAGGGACCACAGGAGGGCTCCGGGGCGTGTCCAGCCTATCTTGCTCAGTCCTGATTGGCCAGACCCCAGCAGCAAGCTAACCTACTGGTCAGAGATTCTGCCCCCTGGTGGTCAGTGAACATCATAGCTAGTGGTTGAACAGCCTTAGCATATCATTATCATATTACGCTTCGATTGGTTGAATGGACGACCAGACGACCAGGCACTTAGCATATTAGCCTTTTATTATGTAGGAGGATATCACTAAAGGTAAGCCATAAGTTAAAAGAATAGCTGTGTAAAGATTCCGTCCTCCCACAGAAAAGTAAAAGCAACAAAAGAGATGTATGCAACTTTATATTAAAATAAAGAAAACAATATGCATTGAGAATCGGGAGATACAGTGTTTTAGAGCTCAGATTTGCCTTCAGTTCTAGTTTTGTTCTCCATTGCCCGGTTTGACATAAGTTTTTATGTACTCAAACTTATTAATCTTTTCTTTGCAACTACTTTTATTACTTCAAATCTGAGAAACTTATGTTTTCTCTACAGATCTAATAATATTCTGTGCTATTTTTAGCCAGTTATTCTGTCCTAATTTATAACATATTTAACTTGTTAATATTTAACTTGTTAATTCATTTTTATATATGGCCTGAGAGGAGGATCTGAAATTTCCCAAAATTGCTAAGGCGTATCCCTAAACTATTTACTACATAAATTTTCCTTTCCAGATTAGTATAGGATTAAAAACATTTTAACTTAAGAGATTTACATAGAGCAGATCTTTTAAAAATATATATATATTTTTATTGATTTCAGAGAGGGAGAGGGGGAGAGATAAAAACATCAATGATGAGAGATGTCTGCAGGCTGATGCTTTATCCACTGAGCCAAACCAGCCAGGGCTACACAGAGCAGATCTTAGAGACAACTTCCAGGATGGCAGGGTGAAGAGCCCAGAGGACATACAGGCATAAATGGTAAAAATTATGAAAAAAAATCTAACTCTCTGGAAATTGGGCATAAAGCAAATGAAGACACATTTATTCTAGCCCAACCGGAGTGGCTCAGTTGGTTGAGTGTCATCCTGTGCACCAAAAGGTTGCTGGTTTGATTCCCAGTCAGGGCACATCTCTCTCTCTCTCTCTTTCTCTCTCTTGCTCTCGCTCTTGCTCTTGCTCTCAGATTGAAAAAGAAAAAAAAAGAGTGTTTACTAATTCTGGTAAGAGCAGTACAGTCTGTGACACCTGAGCCACTCTGCTCTCCCGCTCCTGTCCCCCAGCTCAGCATGACTGAAGCCCCACTTGAGTGGATACAACAGGGTTCCCTCTCCTCCAGCTCCCAGATGCGGACTACGGCATGTCCCTGGTAGGGGCTAACCACCAGCATTTCTCGTCCCCTGGGCCCTGTGTTGTAGAAGCTAATTCCAGGTGAGTGGGGCAGAGAGGTGGAGGCCTTCTCCTACCAGCCCCTGCTCACAGGCATAGTAGTCTGAGAAGACTGGGCCCCCACGCCCTGGTCCCTGCTTGCTCACAGGGTAAAGGCTCCATGATGGGAGAGGCAACCTGAGAAGACAGAGACTACTGTGCCCGGCTCCACGCCCATAAAGCAGGGTGTCTTTTGAGAGAAGCTATCCCACTCCCAACCTCTGGAGAACTAAGATTTTTTTCCCCCAAGGTAGAGGTTGTCCACAATATTGACACGATATTTAAACTAAAATGTCTAGCTCACAACAACAAAAAATCAAGTGCCATGCAAAACAGAAGACTATAACTCACACACAAGAAAAAACACAGGCAAAAAAAAAAAAAAGAAAAAACACAGGCAACAGAAACTGCCCCTAGAAGGCCCAATGTTGTACTTAAAGACTCCAAAGTAGCCATCCTATATAATAAAAGCCTAATATGCAAATCAACCGAACGACAGAACAACCAGTGGAACGACTGGTCGCTATGAGGCGCATTGACCACCAGGGGATAGACCAGCCGTGGGCACCACCGGTAGCCCCACAGATCGGCCCTGATCGCCGGCCAGGCCTAGGGACCCTACCCATGCATGAATTTCATGCACTGGGCCTCTAGTTAAAAATATATTCAAAGGACTAAAAGAAATCAGGCTTAAAGAAGTAAAGGAAGTATGATTCAATGTCTCACCAAACAGAGACTATCAATAAAGAGACAGAAATGATCAAAAAAGAACCAAATACCCAGTAGAAATTAAAACATATGTCAACACAAAAACTTGTACATAAATGTTTACAGCAGCATCCTCATCCTATATAATAAAGAGGTAATATGCAAATTGACCATCATGCCATCACAAGATGGCAGCGCCCGGGGGGGTGGGGAGGGGCACGAGGCCAGCTGCTCCATGCCTGCCGCTGGATTCCCCTCAGCCCTGCTGGGGGCTTTGGGTCCTCCTGACCCCCCACTGACTGACAGCTCACCCAGGCTTCTCCAATGAGCTGCCCATTCCTCTCTTCCTCCCTCTCCCGAAGCTGAAGCCTGACTGTGGTGTCCAACAAACTGGAAGTTATAACTCATGTCATTGAGAGTATCCTCTGTTCCTCAGCCAGGGCGGCCGCTCCGCACTCCTGCCACAGGAGTCACC